TACTTGATGGGTTTTTTTTCTGTCATAATGGAAAGTCTCCCCCGCCATTTCTCCAGCCTATTCTTCATTTGGAGTAATTATAGATGGAGAGGTAAAAGATGTTTTTTTTTCCCCCTTTTCTTTTCTCCTTCCTGCCTATCTTCTATCCTCTCCCCTGCGTGCATTCAGAGGAGCTCTCACCACTGCATTCTTATTAGGGACATGTCTGAAAGGCTCCCGCAGCATGTGGTGTCCTCTGACCATCAGCTACGGCTGCTTATTGTTGGCATTAACAAGCCAAGCAACCGAGGATAGCTTTTCAACAGGTACAAACTTTTCCTTTTAGATAATTAACCGCATTCAGACACTCAGTGTAGGTAATGTGGGTGCAGAAGCCTAGAGAGGATCATACACAAGGAAAAAAGGGACAGAGAAAGGAGAGAGAGATGGAGAAAAAACTTGATCAAAAACAAGATGTTCTCTTTGGTGTTGTTTAGCGCGAGTGGATTCTATACCAAACTCCTATTCAAATGGTGTGGTCTTCATTTCTGCTCTCCTTGTTGTCCTCCCCACCGTCCACTTCATCTTTTTTTTTTTCCATCAAGATGGACCGTGTAATGAGGGAAAACTCTGGTCATTGTGGGACGGTCAAAGGTTTGCTACCTTAATGAATGGGAGAAACACAAGAAGTGCTGAATGCTCCGCCTCGCTCCTGTTTGCCTCGCCGCAAAAGCCCCAGGATGTCTACTGAAGAAGGCCTCCTCCATCAGTTGCCGCCTCGTCTCTTGTTAAAGGGGGCAGAAAGCGAAGGCAGAGGGGAAAAGTAATTTTCTTCTCCTGTCTATCCATTCTTTGGGTGGGTTTCTTCCACTTTTTGCTGTGTACTTTCATAAAGCTTATAATTATCTTGGCGAGAGCCCCTCAAGCGAGAACGAATGGGGCCTTTGTACCATTCTCTCTTCAGCCCTCTCCTGTTTCTGGCAAGATGGAAGTCATATTAACATTTGGTCTTCCCCTTTTACAGATGCAGTGAGAAAGCCAGATGTGTCTCCTGTAAAAGAAGCCTTTCAACAACTTAGTCTCAAAAACATGTTTTTCTGAATCACTGCTGAGCCAGTCAGAACAGGAAAAAACGCAAATGCAGTCATTGGAAAAAACGTTAGCGTGTTGAGCATTTGAATTGTTTTGTCTTATTTTTATGTGCTGGCAAAACAAAGGACTGTGAAAATGATATTCTCACACTTTACTGTTGCTCTTTTCTGAAACACATAAAGCCCTCAAAATCCTCAACCAGTTCAAAAACAACCACAAGTCAATCTCGCAGTATCTCTTTTCATACACCTGTCATCAGAGATCACAGGTTAAGGGATCTTAATCTTCCCCTCCACCATTTATGCACAATGTACCTTTGCTCACCTACCCCTCCCTCCCTCCAACCCTCAATCCCTCTGAACTCCATCCCCAACTCTTCCGACTGATTACTCCTAATGTAATTTTAATTAAAAACGGTGGTGTCAAAGGGTTTAGCCTGCCTGAGAAGCGGGTGCAGATTGTGGCACAGTGGCAGACCCCTTCACTTGCATGAGAGGAAATGCATCCTGACATCACTCGGGTGGTGCCAACACGACCAGAGCCAGGTTCAGCAAAAAGGATCCACGGCCTATTTCAATATAACGGTAGAACTTTCTTATGGGTGATTTATTGTGGTAATTCAATTAATGCTGCACCCCTGTATCAATTGGATTAAGGAGTTATATATGCATACTTAAATATATTCTAAATATCCTTCTTGTTCTGTGCCACATCAGGTTGAGGTAAAAGAGCAACTTCAGCAAGCAAAAACATTGGAGAGATTGTTGACTGATTTGACTTGTAAGCAGTCATTATCCATCACACATCGTCAAGCAGAATTAAAATGTTACAATCCAAAAACAAACCAGAAGCCACCAAGCTGCGACCCACTCTCATTTAAAAATACACATAGTTGACATTGACGTTAATCCCCTCAGCTAAATTTCACAGAGGTGACCTGTGAAGGTGCCCCTCAGCAGGACTCAACAGCAGAGGTCTGCCTGTAGGTTTGTAATCCCCTCACCCTAGTCGTTGGATTATCTGCTCTCCATCGACCCTGAAGAGGCTCCCCGTGTTTCGGGTTTAAACACTCTCAGAAATCTCATCTCCACACCCCATCTGCCGGCCGTACAACGTCTTGGGAGCCACGGAGACTGAGGAGTGGGGACTGATGCAGCAGTGGGGATCTTCTCGCTGCAGCTGTTTGAAGGGGTAGAGAAGCCTTTAGAAAACACATGGTCTGCTCATCATTACTTTAAGAATCAGTTCTGGTTATCACATGTTACTGTCCTTTGTGATAGTATCTGTCCTAGTAGGCCTACTTGTTGCAGTAAAGGTTCTTCATGCTTGGCTTAACTCTTTTCCTTCCACTTTTAACACTGCTTTTAGTAAACTTCACATTGATACATTTAAGTTTAGGACATATGGTACATAAATCATACTTGAGGATCTTTAATGCAATAGGTGTCAGGGACCCTTTACATTCTCTGACAGGGGCCATGTTTTGAGGCCATCAGTGGACAGTTGGAGGAGCTGGTGGTTGTTCCCTGAGCACTGAGGCATGTTGTAAGAGGGTTTAACTTTGCTAACCTCCTTCTGCCAGGTTCATGGGGCCATGCTGCTTGGGTAATATTGGATCAGTGTTGGGAGCCCTTGCTCCTGCCATATCAACCAGCATGCTACCTGGGGGAGTGAGCACTTTCCACTATGAAACCAACTGTGCTTGATGCATGCATATTTGCTCTACTCCTCGTATACATGATTGAAGTTATATGGTCTTTATCTTGAACAGTATTTAACATAAAATAGGCTTTAAATGTACATGCATTTACATTTTTACTCTTTCATGATACACAATACAATAACGTGAGAGTTTAATCAGTTCTTTTAAATGGGAAACAACAAATACTTCCCCAGGTGTTAGTATTTGTATCTTTAAAGGCTGACCTCCGTCTTTTAAAATACAAACCATACTTGGTATGGGCTAATGCTTTTCTTTTCTCAACTTTACCATTACTGAAAAAAACTGAAACCCCTCAATAGTTCAAGCCTGACATTAATAAGAATCTAGTGTTTTGTTTTTATATATTCTCCACTCATCAACAGTTGTAAAGAAAAAGTGTAAAATGTGTATACAAGAACACTATCAAAAATAACGAAAGGAATCCATTTAGAGAATTATGCAGGCTGCAAAAAAAATATTTTCAAGATACTATGTATTCTACATAGATAAAGACGCTATTCTTGATTATGAATAATAACAACAGTTTGAGTAAAGCGACTTTGCATAAAAGATAAACAAATTCATCTTAGTAACATCTTAGATTGCTTTTGTATACGCATTGCATTTTCTGTTTGCTGCATGTGTGTATCCATGTGCATTTTTAAGGACTAGAACAAATTATTTCATCTTTGTTTTTAAGTCATCATTAAGGAATCAGATTTTTTGTTGCCAAAAAACATATACAATGATTTTTTTTTCTAATGCTTCATTTGAACCCCTCAAAAGGCTAAATGTTTTTTCTCTGATTTGGATTTCGTCTTTCCCACAATTTAATACATGTATTTCTGCCACTGTAATAATTCGCACCAGCTCCACTTGGCCTTGTTGTGGAAATTTGACAATTGCAGTTTGGAGAGATCTGCTGACATTAAAACCTGCAGATATCTACCTGATGAAAGAAGAAATGGAAACACAGTTTAATGTCTGTTTGTGTAAAGAGTTTAAAAAACATATGCAGTGAATGCAGGTAATGGCTTGTGGTTTTGTTTCTTCTTCCTAGACTTTGATTTGAAGATGAAAAAAGTGCTTCACTGTAGAGGAACGTGGCAGCTGTAAGGCCAGAGAGCCGTGAGAACTTCAGGCAGAAATGTTAGACATTCACTATATCCCCTTTGCTGGTGGCAACACATACACCTTCACAGGCGTGAAGGCGCACTGGGTGTGTATGTGTGGTTTGGATGTGTAGGTGAGCAGCTTACACCTGCTTCTTACCTAAAATTACAGTCTCATTATATGTGTGAATCCTGACCTTTGTTTTCGGACAAAAGAACAACATCTAACATCAGGTGTGTTAGTGTGTCTGTCTGAGGGTGTACCTGTTCCTATGTCTGAACAGGTGTATGGGATCCAGACAGCCAGTCCTTCACACAACTGACTGTGGTCAGGCACCTCATGCAGTCTGTGGTGCAGACTCACAAACATTGTGGTTGGATGTTGATTCACTTTCAGAGGAGCATTTTATTCACCTTTGTGATGGCTCTGTTCCGCTCTTGATCCAAGTAGCAATACACTGGTATGCATTTAAAAATGAAAACAAAACAAAAAAAAATGCATTTTTTACTTTTTAAATTAAACTATTTATAAATTAAATTTCACAAAACTAAAGTAACATATTTTAGCTAATACTTAAATACTTTTGAATAGACATTGGTCAAACACAGATTACAGCTGTCACTGCCCATATACCAAATGAATTGGGACATTGGGGATTTGTAAAACTATTAACAAGTAAACTGGTTCTCACTGAATTAACTTGTGATATGGTTAAATTTCATATTATTTAATATCGATATTATTTCACAACTTTAATCATGATGCTTTTGCAACAAAATCACTCACATAACATAATAAATTATGATTATGATTATTATTTGTATTATTATTATTATTATTAATAATACAAATAATAATAATAATGTATTCATCATTTATTTTTATTATTATAATTTTGTATTACATTAGAAAACGTGTTTATTATTATTATGGGTCACTGTCAATATAAAAATGTAAATTTAACTTAATTATTCCGTCTTTGACAGCACAAATATGAACTTCAGAGTGGCAAGGTTTCCTGCCGTGCCTGGGAAGGTTTGGTGTTGAACGACAGTCGGTTTGTTTCGGTCTGTCCGAATGTGACTCTGGGATTTGTAGTTTTTCACACCGCGTAACGACGTCAGCGGAAGTATTTACCACGTACGTAAAATAGCCAGCTAGGTCACATTGCTTGTGTTTTGTAAGGTTTGAAAACATGGCTACAATGGAGGCAGCAATTACAGGTATTTTATTCTTCTATTGTCTTAAGGGCTTTACTTCTTTCATCAAATAACGTAACAAGTCCGCTCTTTGCAAAGGTTTATTCCTTCCCGAGCATCCAGGAAAGACTACAGACTCGGTACTGCCTTCTCGTTAGCTAGCTATGTAACCTCAAGTTGCTTACATGATCACTATGATGTTTATTCATGTTTCCACTTAATATAGGATAACTTTAGCGCCTTCTATAACGGGTTTAAGTTGACTTTTTTTCATACATTCGGTCTTTTTTATTCATTCATTTTTATAAATAACAGTGACTTATATAAAGTTTAGGCTAAAACAAATGTGGGCTAATGACGATGCTCATCAGTTACAATGGCTCACCTGCGTTTCTTTCTTCCTTTTGCCCTTCATCTTTAGAGGACATCCAGTTGAGGCATGTTGAAAAAGATGTCCTCATTCCAAAGATGATGAGGGAGAAAGCCAAGGAGCGCTGTGTTGAGAAAGTTGAAGGTATGTGTTTGTGAGACTGATGACATTGAACATCTTTCCTACACCAAAGGTAATAATACTATTGTAGGTAAGACGCACAGGTTCACAGCCTTCCAGCAGGCACTGCTATGTATTTTACAATCAAGGCTCATAAGAATGATTTATAAAAGTAATATCACCTGTGTATTTTTGTACAGCAAGTCAAAATGTCTTCTGTCAAAAAGGAAAATCATATCAGTTTCCCAAATAAATTAAAAACTCTTTTCAGGTCACAATAAAACAATTGAAAGGTAAAATAGACTACAGCCCGATTCCACTCTTCCTTTTACCGGTCTTTCAATCTCATTTCAGCCCCTTAATAATTGTACACACATTGCATGGGAATGACATGCACGACATATCAAAACAATGCCATGTGCTCTTACATTGTACAATATTGTGATAACAATATGAAGTGAACAAACAAATAATACAACTACAAGTAGATACAATTCACATTTACTATGTTTATTTACTTTTATTCATTTCACACTATGCATGTGTTTGCAACGTGTTACTCTTAATACCAATTAAATCCAAAAAGCAGTTTTTTCACCAGGTAATTGAGCTGCCTTTTTAAAAAATAATAATGAATGGGTAGCTGGTAGATAAGGTCGGTAATAATGGCTGTCAACACAGGGCGCTGTCTGATAGTTAAATGTACTCACGTCACATTTTGAGTGAGAAAACATTGCTTAATTACATAAACATATTTTTCCTATTTATTGCTATGAAGTCAGACTTTTGCTGTGTTGTTTTATTGCATATGCTTATTTGTGATAATGATGAAATTGCCTTTTATTGTATAACCATAATTGAGAATTTTGTAAACCATCTATAGCACAGTATATTTAGCAGCAGATTACATTTTTTGATTTGTTGTTCTTGTTTTATTTATTCAAGATATTGACACCACTTGTGCCAACTTTTCTTGGTACACAGATTCTATGTTTACGTGGGAAAGCCAAGATATTACTTTTTATTTAAACTGCCTTTCAACACTTCTTCTCACCTCTCTGTTTATGTAACAGTTACGTTTCTAGAAGGGAAATGTGCTTTTTAACGTGTGTATGCTTTCTCCACCTTAAGAGGAATACTAACACTGGGGTATGTTACCAAAGCCCAAAAACATGCTCATAGCATTCACACTAATGATTCTTTGAGGAGTTGTTGGGAAAAACATGAGAAAACAAAAGACTCTAAACAGCATGCACGCTAAATATTCACTCTGGAACAGCTGTAAAATAAAAGAATTCCTGGAAATCCAAACAGCATGTTGGACAAATGAACTTAAGATTTATTATTTTGTTCTAATTAATGGTTTAACATTTCCTTCAGAAAGGATCCCAGAAAATGCTTCCAAGTTTGAATTAATAAATTGCAACCTATTCTTTATGTTGGAATATTTCTGACACATAAAACACAACACAGCTAAACATCATTATTACTATTAATGAAATGCACAGGAAACCTAAACAAAACTATCACTCCAGGTAGGGCTGAGCGATATGAAAAACAATGTTATGATGATAAAAAACATTTCATATCAGTCGATGTGGATAATTATCACGGTAAAGGTCAAATCTTTATTTCTTTCAAAATGAAAGGCTGATTTTTTTTCTCCTGAGTGAAAGTTTAAGAAACCAGAGGGTTGATTGTGGTTAAACTATTCTTTATTTTCAGAACATGACAAACTCTACATGAACTGAGGAACGTTTCAGTATCATGAGCACAGTGCATGGTGATGGAAAATGCTTATATGACAGTTTCCCGCTGTGCAGTAATACCTATATATGTATGTATGCAGGGTCCGAAATTAACACCCGCAAGGTAGATTTTCCGTTTGGCGAGTACTTGTCAGAGGGCTATCCGCCACAGGGCGGGTAACTGTTTCATCAAAAAGTCATAGAAACTATGCTACAAGTATTCATTGCGTTTGATGTAGCCTAGCTGCAGCTACTTTTCCCTGCTCCTCTCTCTGCTGTCATGACTGTCTGTGAGCATCGCGGGGCACGCTGAGACACACCAACATACACCGCAGCGCAAAAGCACACACACACACACACACACACACACACACACACACACACACACACACACACACACACACACACACACACACACACACACCTGTTTACTTCTAGTTCTGAAGCACGAGAACACTGCAGTCGACTTTTCTCCGTTCACTCTCTCCGTGTCTGCAGCTAACTCAGCGATAGCATCGTAATAAGTGTGTGAACATCTCCACACAGACTCTGTGAAACAGCGCTGTGTTACAAACACTTTAGGTATCCTAGCGGACGCTAAATGCACGCTCCACTTTTCCCTTCCATCACGTGCAGCAGGAGCAGTCAGAGATATACGTCCACTAATGAGCAGGCTGATTATATCATTTATAATCAGGATTAAACTTGTTTTGAGTATTAATATTTTTTTTTTCTCTGATGGATTTTTGTTTTTAGTCTGTAATGTTGTAATGCAGGGGCCGTTCAGAGGGGAACCTCAGAGGTTTAAATTGATCAAGCATTTGTGATAATTACTTATCACAATAAATAATCGTTATTGTTTTATCGCCCAGGCCTAACTCCAGGCAGTGATGTAGGCTGTGTTAACTTGATAGCAACCTAGTCACTTCATCCAAATCCAAATGTTGCTTTCCTTTTAACACAGAGAAATTTCTATGGTATATTTTAAAAGGGTAAAAGGGTAAGTGGATATTTTCTTTTTCATAATTTCTAGTAATGTAGGACGAGGCCATTTTGCATAACATCGGCTAACCTTTCATCTGCATGGAAATGGTCTCTGCAGCTTTGCAGTGCAGCAACACATGAATCAGATGATGACGATGATTGTGTGGTTTTTAGAAATCTGACAAGTCTCTTTGAGCCAGGGTGTTCTGCTAACTCTGAGAGACAATGCAGCCTGAAGTGATGGGACAGACAGTGGCTGTGTGGGTAGTGGAAACCCCCCTCACATTACTAGCTTCTTGTCCCACTCATTTTCACACCTCCACGCTCGCCCTCTGTCATTTCATTCTGTATGATTGTGTCTGCACTGGGCTCTCTCATGTGTGTATGATTCTGTTCTGTGAAAAACAAAAAACTACATGCACGTTTTCCTGTGTTATCTCACTTGTATATATGCCTCCAACACCCTGTGTTTTGTAGGCATTGTTGTTGATGCAGACATGCACAAATGACCTCTACACAACTTCTGTCTATAGAAGTGAATTATTGGAACAACTTAAAAAAAACTCAATAAGCATCTCATTTCAGGATTGATTGCTATTAAGCGTTTTCAAAACTTAAATTTAAGTTGGCCATTTCATTTAAGTACACTGCTCTGTAAGAAAATAACTAAATGGAAATTCTGATAATTCCTAGGGGCTCTGAAATATTTGAATTTACTGTTTCATCATTCATTCATTTCATTATTCAGAAAGCAAAATCTGTCTCAATATTACAAATTTGTTCTCCTCTCTAACTAATTCAGTATCAGAGATTCATCATTTTTTTTATTTCTCTCAAAAGATGCATCCCTCCCTCAGTGTTTTAGCCTCTAGCTTCTTACCAAAGCACACTCTTGTGTCTCAGAAACAGCCTTAAGTGAAAGAATCACACCTTTCTTTGAAAAGGCCTCCTCTGACATTAAACTAGCCTTATAGCTTTGTCGTTTGTGTCGCTGCGATCTGAAAGGAAACCCTCTGCAGCCTCTATGAGTGCCATGGGACAGGGATGAGGCGTTTGCTGATTAGATTAGTTGCACTGTTCTGCCCCTCTAAATTGGTTTTTGCGGATGTTTTTTCACATCTGCATTCTGATGAAAGTATCTGTGTGATAACCATACTGATGCCACTGAACACGGTGATTATGATATCAGTTGTTTGAAAGCAGACATTGGAGGGCAGGGTTCTTTAATTAAATTCTCGAGAAGGAGCTTGCTAACAAGGTGAAGGCTCAGAGTCCTCACCACCTTGTTTACAAAGAAGACCTTGGACGTTTAATCTGGATTTAGCACCAGACAAGACACAAGGCTGTTTTTCAAACCACCTACTATACTAGTAGTATGTACTGATTTGGCCAAAATGCAGTTTGCAGTTCGCGAACAAATGCAGAAAAACCTGGATGTTGTACTGACTGGGGAAAAATCTACAGTATGCATCAGACCAGTCTCCCTCGCATACTGTTTACCACAATGCAAAGCACCATGTCAGAGATTGAAGTGACGGGAAATTATCACAATCAGACCAAACCAAACAAACACCCCACCAATTATATATCTTTTTAATAATCAAAATCATTCAAATCAAAATGAATCAGTTGTGGATACTACACTGTAGTGACGTTTCCTGTCAGCTGGGCTGTTGTTAACTTTCCAAGACTGTTAACCAGCTTAGCCGAGCCGGGCATGCTGCAAAAATAACCACCGTCTGGCAGTCATACTACATACTAATATCGACCACAGCATGCAGAAAGCACTGCATACTGCATTTGATTGTAGTATGTAGTAGGCGGTATTGAAAAAAACCCACAGTGTCACTGATTTATCCTTGTCAGTGGGCTTTCGATCTAGATTAACAATCATTATTTCATAATTAAGTCTTTATCTTTTTCCCCATTGTTCATTTAATTATATAGATTTCCAAATGTTAAATACATTGCAAACTGTATAGCAGACAGGGAATTGGATAGGTGTCCATATTTATTTGAATCTTTAAAAGCTTCAGGCCTTTTCAATATGATCCTTCTATACAACTCACATCTTTACAAACCCGCCATCATTATAGGACAATTCTCCAGTCTCTTGTGGTTTTCTTAAATCCACCTTATGATATCATTCGGCTTTTTTTGCTCTTGGCCCCCACGTTTGACATGTAGGTTAAAACCTCTAAAGAAGTCGTGCAGCCATTATGTCCTCCTCCTAAGTTTTGATCTTTGAATGTTGAAGCGCCCCCCCCCCCCCCCACACACACACACACACACACACACACACACACACACACACACACACACACACACACACACACACACACACACACACACACACACAGCCATTGTGGACACCTGTCCATTTGCCAGGCAAAAAGGCAAACCAGCATATGTTGCAACGATGGAAGCGGGCAAACAAATTGGTTCAGATATAACTGATTCTACCCCGACCTAATAAGCCTCAGCATTTATCTAATAAGCTCCACAGCCAGAAACGTATGACCCCTGTTGAATAAACCAATAAACTAAATTAAACCCATAGCTATCACTGTCAGACAGTCAGGCATGAAACAGAACTTTATTTGTCAGAACTAGTCGTGTAAATATTTGCAGGTGGTTGGTTGACTGTTTTAAAGCTTATGTGGAAGCTGGGCAACCTCAAATTCCATCCTGATCTCACTATAGCTCATTTCTAGTTTAACTCCTGAAACATGGCTTACAGCTTGATAAAGGGCTTGGTAACGTGACCTACGACTGGTCCTTCTTGTGGGGTGGAGTGCTAAGATGAGGCCCACCTCAGCCTGCTTGTGGCTCCATGTTTTATATCTGGGCTTGGACTCCAGGATGGCACAAGGGGAAAGATGTGATACTAATACTGTAGATTCAACGTAGCTTTTATGAATTCATTTATGCTATGGCCCGTTTCTCTTTTGTGCTAGATTCACCCTCTTTGACACCTTTTTTCTCCACCTCCTACAGCCTTCAACCACTGCTGTAAAGAGTCTGGTTTCTTCATGGTGTTTAAGTGTCGAAAGCAGAACGCTGCACTGAAGGATTGTCTGACAATACAGTGAGTATTTTACAGTTTCTTCCCCCTGAGGCCACATTCATTCTGGAAAATAAATACTGTACCTTCTGTCTTCCACCAGCTACAACGACCCTCATTTCTTCGAGGAGTGTAAGCAGGAATACATCAGGGAGAAACTGGAGTTTATGAGGACAGGGATCCCAACAAAGAACAGGAAACAAAAAGTCCCAACAAGCATGTAATAAACACAATGGTGCTCCCACAAAAACTGACCTCATTAAAGGAGCAGTGTGCGAGGCTCTGGCCAGAAATGGCACCAAGTCTACCAAGAACATGTGGTCATACCTAAGAACTTAATTCTTATGAAGCCACAAGCTTGTGCATTTTATTGAAATGTGTTTAATTTTGACTGAAACTACTTTGGTATGCAAGAGAGATTCATAATCAGAACGTCTACTTTTCATGTTCTGTATATTTGCAAATGTTCTCCATCAGATTATCTGAATGATCTCCTTCACAACATCTGAATCTGCAGCATTTACAAAGCATATACCCATTATCTTACTGGTTGATAGAACAAAAATCCCATCAAAGTACAGCCAGCTCCTGTATCTTAACCTTAACCTGAATTACTTCAGAATACAGTCAGACATTTGGTAATGGTTGAAATATGCTGATTACAGTGTTGTACATAAAATTAGAGCGTAGGTGTTAGGATACTCTTGCTTGTTTCTTTTGCTTGATCTGTCAGTTTGGTAAATCACCTGCAGAAAACAAAGAATTTCAGAAGGATTTGTGCACTTATACAATGTAAGAGAAATGATTTCTTCCATTCATCCATGAGCTGTCTGTGTTCATATGACTTTTGCAGTGTAACGTGGAATTGTAAATAAAAGATATTCAGTAGCAGTAAATGGTGTACGAGTGGTAAATGAGGAAAAAAAACCTTAAAATGTTATGAATGCAGTTTGTTCCAGATAAACTAATCACCTCTTCTTTATTCAGTCAAAAACAAATGCCTTTATTACTCAGAGGTTGGACATTCTCTGCACTTATGATAATGTTAATAGTGATGATTACCAGGCATCTAACTTTAAATCTGTATTGTGTTTGTTAGTTCAAATGAAATATATTTAATTTAAACATAAAATAATATATTTAATCAATGTATTTTGTTATTATTTAGCTCGCTTTGCCTTATATAAGCAAAGCTTTGTGTTCTTTTTCCATTATTTTGTATTTCTATGTATTTTGTGCAGCAGGGTGGTGCAGTAGTCAGCGCTGTCGCCTCACAGCAAGAAGGTTATTGGTTCAAATCCCTTGTCAGAGCAGGGCCTTTCTTTGTGGAGTGTTTTCCCTGTGCGTGTGTGGGCTCCCTCTGCCTTCCTATCACAGTCCAAAGACATGCCACTTAGGTTAAGTGGTGACTTTAAAATGTGTTCCACTGTTTGTCTCTATATATCAGCCCTGTGATTGACTGGCGACCAGTCCAGGGTGTACCCCGCCTATCACCCAATGACAGCTGGGATCTGCTCCAGACCCCCATTTATTTGCAAATTGATTCAGAATGGAAGCTGTAAACTGATATTTCTTTTAGTAATTACTAAGTAATGTCTTTTCTGTTAACATTTTGTTTTTTAATTGTCATTTACATGATGCAGACTGATCAAATAGACAGAGGACTTTATAATTCATCAAGGGGAAATTGATTTACCTATAAAGAGATGTGATGGGGTAAACGTGTCTCACTAAACAAAGTGTAGAAGTTAATGGCTGTGGTTGGAATTATTTTTGCGACAGCAGAATTAACTTCACAGTTATCATCTTTGGATTTGAATGAAGTTAGTTGGCTTACATTATATTGTTGAACTACGGTGGCTGGGAGTGCAAACACTTTTGATTTTTTTTTTTACATTTTATAAAACAAAATTACAAAATGCTTTTACCAAGGACAAAACACATTTACATTTGATAAAACAAATTGAAAAGATGTGAAACGCTTACAAGCGCTGAGACACTTCCAGTATTTGGTACACTCCCTTTCCATCAAGATTCTGTCGTTTGTACATTTTTGTTGGGGACTGTTTAAAATGTTCTGCCACTTGTAAATTTTTCTCAGCTTTTGTAAAAGTGTTTCAGATCTTGAACATTTTTTTTTTGTCCTCGGTAAAAGTGGTTTGGGTTTTGTCATTTTTTAAATAAAATGTAACAATTATTTTCAAAATGTGAATTTGTCTCAAGCTTTGTAAACGTGTTCCACACTTGGTAATTGTGTTTTGCACTTCCAAGCCCCCTTATTGAACTGATAAGAAAATTAGGATATATATTTTATTAACCAATGTATTTTTTGGTTATTTCATTTGTTTTTAAATAAATATTTTTTTTTCTTACTCCTGAGGCACTCCTGAGGTTTATTACAATATAACTCAGGGGAAAAGTGGCAAGTAATCACATTGAGGAGGCAGTACTTGAAGTTGAGCCTTAAAAACTGTGATAAGAACCATTGTTTATTTTTAACATGTTCCTCAGAAGTGCATTTACTATGGCAGCCTTGTGATGGAGAGTGGGCATTGTCTTTTTCTGTTAAGGAAAAAGGTTGTAGAATAAATGTCTCAAGACAAGAAGTCAAAAGATGTTATTGTTGATTATAGCTGCAAAGTAGCATCACAGAGCATCATTGTTTAAAATCTGCATAAAAAATAAGAAAACTCACAGTCACCTCCTGTCCTTTAGTTTAATTGATCATATTTACAAACAGTCTGAAATGCAGTAAATCTAAAATATAATCCATATCTACTGTACATTGCATTTTGGTTTGCAAATCGTTTACAGAAGTATGAAACTACTGCTGTAAAATAACATTTCTTAGAAATTAACAAAAAGACCAGACCACAGTTATCATGAAACAGACTGAAAAAAACAAAAACAAAAAACAACCATGGGTCTTGGTGATTTGTGCACCTACTTTTCAAGTCAGAGCTCACATTTCTTTCTTCACGTTAAGAGACTTATTGTCTCACCACCACCGCAGACGACCCGTATACACATCAGAAGTCTAAAGAAGTGGAGAGAAAAAAACAAAACATCCTATGGTTTGAAGTGCAAAACTGCATTTGGCAAAGTACTGAAGCCCACCATTTACATTTATACAGGTTCACACCTTCTCCCCTCCAGGCCTCTTATCCTCTAAGCATGTGTGTCCCTTTTGTACATACTTCAATTGTTCATACTTATCTGACCCTAAAAAAAAAAAAACCTTCCACAATAACCTACGTCTTACTGCAAAAGAAGTGCATCCTAGATTAACATCAGCACAGTACAGAGTTAAGATACATGTTCTGCAATTTTGAATTATCCACAAACCTTACCAGGTTTCCAACTTATTACGAGTTTCAAATAAGAGATTGTATGTATGAGGCCTATACAGTGAGTCCTTCACATTTTAAGTCCTACAAAAATGCACAGCCTTACATTGACTGGCATGTTTGCAACAGAGAAAAGAAAAAACAACACAAAAGAAATGTTCAGTAGTTCTGAGAGAATCGATTTTGTGAATAAAGGCAGGTTTAGAGAGGCTTGTTTGAGTTGACTAATATCTATAAAATCAACAACAGTTGAGTCTTTTCGGGTGCAAGTGAGGGTGGAGTGTTTAATTCCATAAAGCTATACTTTTTTAAAGATTTAGATATTACCTAGCCATTTAGCAATGTCCATAAAAAATACTGTCACCTCATTCTCAAATGATTCAGTAGGCCTGTACATGTTGATAACTTTGATATTGATCCATAAGATCACTTTGATCAAAGTTAAAGCTTCCAAAGGAAAAGTAAGATGTCAAAGATTTAATTTGGTATCTGAAAAAAAGTGAACAAAAATGATGGTTGATTATCCTACAGTTACTGAATGTCTGTCTCCACCACAGCACAAAACAATCACATTGAGTCTTCATACTTAAAAATATCATCCACATGATGGTGAGACATCAGACTACATACTTTGTATACTTTACAGCGATCAAATGTGAAAAGACTTGTATATAACAAATTATATTATTATGCTGTGGCCCCAGTGATCACATTAGGTCTATTATGGTGAGATGCAGATACAGGCAGGCGAACAATGCCAGCACATCGATCTGCACACACAGGCACACTGATGTGTGTATATGCACACATACACACACACATTAAACTGCTTGTATATGTGCATAAAAGGACACATACACACGGGACAAAGTATTTATTTCTGCTAGGATTCTCATCAACTTTGTTCCTCCACAAAGTCCGATATGTTCACCGATGTGGTGTGCAGAGATGACTGATTAATGAGTTCACAGAGTCTTTACCTCGAACAAGGCCTCCTCTGGCCTAAATCAGGTCCCACATTCAGCAGGAGCAGTCCAGTCCAGCCAGGAGGAGTGGTCTTATCAACTTAAGGCAGGTTAGGTGGTAGCTATGTGGCAGAGTTGGAGAGTCCAATCATTCATCCATTGGTTTATATTTCCATCCAACTATTTTTATTCAATCATCTATCCCCCCCCCCCCCCCCCCCCCTCAAAATTCCCCTCAGTAGGGCTTGGTCCACTCGGCATTGGGAGGGCTCCTTGGAGTGCAGTTTCCAATAGACGAAGAGGAATTGGATGTAGCAGAGTGCCCTTCCCAGAACATGGCATCACTGGGTTTTGGGGGGCTGGGGAAGGACCGCGAGCTGTCATCCAGGGAGGCCTGGTTCAAAGGGGGCGGGGGCAGGACGACAGAGCAGGTGTCACTTCCAAGCAGAACCTCTCCTGAGCAGCTCTGGGAGGGCCAGGGTCCATTGTACCAGCAGTCCTCCCTCAGACTGTCGGGCAGAAGGGCACCTGACGGCCCACAGACCGGGGGGCAGGGGCGGCCGGAGCAGGAGGGGAGTGGGGGGGCACTAGGGGGGCGAGGCACTGACACCCGAGGAACAGCGTGGTTATTGTTCTTTTCCACGTCATCCCGACACTGGATTGGAACTGTTGAGGCAGAAAAAGAGAGTTGGGGTACAAGTGGAAGGAGGAAAGATGAAAAATAGATTAAATGTTTCCAGAATGTTTAGACCACACCCACTGTGAACACACACACTGTGAACACACACACACTGTGGTGATGTCACTAATTGAAGCTGCAGTATTTGAACCAGTATTATATCTGTATTTAAAACAAACTAAAACAGTTATTGATGATAATATTGAAGTTACTTATTTCAACATTATGATAAGTGGACTTGGTTACACCACCTTCAACAGAGGTTTAGAAAAACCCCACAATCCATCAGGAGTATTAATGCTAAAGCTAATTACAGAGTCAGATTATATACAGTATATATCAAATATAAAAAGTGTTTAAACATATAAATATAAAATATATTTTGATTTGAGTTTAAATGAAGGAACATTTTTTGATTTGTTTCCTATGTTTAAGGCTGTGAAAAGTGTGTGTGACAACATGTGCATTCTAAGTCCTAAGCTGCCTTTTAACCGAGGTGATGGTATAAATGAAGCCATCTTTTCTTTCCTCAAACAGCAGATTGAGTTTTCCGTCTGTATTTGGCACCAGGATCGCACCTCTGTATTTATTCCTACACATATTTACTCTTGGATTAAATGTAGGGCTCTGAAGTGATTTCAAATTCCAAAGGTGTGTTCAACAAAGCTGTTGATCCCTGACGGAACAAAGGCCTCAGAGTGTAAAAACAGAGAAGAGAGGTAAAATCTCACACCATGCAGAAGGCTACATGTCGCTCAATAAAACCTCTTCACCGCGTAAAAATGACTGCCTGCGAACCAGAAAATATACTAAACAATAATGAGGTTTTGCTCACAATAACATGAATCCAGGGACACATCAGTTTCTCCTAATCTTACACACACATCATTACTTTGCAAACAAAT